TTTTTGTTAGTCAGTTTAGAGGTTAGTTATAAGGATTGTTTTGTTTTGCTTATTTCTTTGATTTGGTTGACAATCCTTTTTTGTGCTAAATTCCATATTCTTTTTCATTTAATAATTATTTGAAAACTTCCACACAACGCGTCCAGTAAAGTCTTCTGAAACGTACTACTTTTCAGTGTCATCTTTGATCTGCTCCACACCCAGTAACAATTTTCTCACTTAAATATTACTGTATCATCCCTCTTTAACATCAAGCACGTAACATTTATGGAGTAAGAATTGTTAAAACTATATGTTTCTTAATCCATATAGTTTTTGCTGGGGGGGGGTTATGTTCCATGTGTGTTTTGTGTATGTTACGTGCTTGAAGCAAAAAGGTTCTTTAGATGCTGAATTATAAACATAAATATACATTTCTAAGTCTGCCATTCACAATTGAATTTATTGGCTATAATTATTATTGATTGTTGGATGCCATTTTTATGATTTGTCCAATTTATAATTTGGAATATATTTGCTACATTTACTGTTGCCATTTCCCAGATTTAGGGGAGATAATTAAAAACACAATTTTAATTGATCATCTTCTAAATATATTGATTTAAAAAATAATATTTTAATTATGTATTGACAGTGGCATGGTTTTAATTTGTTCAGGGGGGAAATATTTTTACAGTTTTATTTTGTGTTTACAGTTTTGTGTAATGTGTTGTGACAGAAAACTACAAGGATTTTATATTTTGAAATGTATTTAAATAAGTTCTCACCTGCCTGAGTCAAATGTTGTTCTGTCTTATTCTGTTGTTTCTTCTGCATCCATTTTCCTTTCCCACTTGTCTTCAAGCTTTTTTCTGAAGTCTGGGGTGCATTGTTTCCCCCCATTCTTTCAAAGGCATTTTTCAGTGATGTTACCAGCATTTTTTTTAGCTCCTTCTCTTCATCCATCTTGTTTACTTGTGGAACTGAATCTTTATATACATGAGATTCCTCTATTTTTTTCCCAGTATTTTTTTCTTGGTTCTTCTTTTCAATCCTGATTCTTGTTAAAGACTTTAAGTGAATCTCATTGTTATAATATTTTTCATCATTTTGCTTGATGATTTCATCAATTTTCTCTAGAAGCTTGGTGATGTGAGTTTCATTAATCTCACTTTTTCTGTTGATCACATGATATTGTCCTCTGCCGTGACTGATTAGGTCCTGAAACTTTCTACTAAACTTAATGTCCATCCATTCTCTGTTTGACATTAGTTCTCTTCTAGTAAACAGCAGCATGGTCAAATTCAAGGCTTGAGCTCCAAAGATCTCCTGAATCTTTTCTACAATGTTTCTCTCGTCCTCTCTGAAGGTCTCCAGGTTGATGACAAGCAGGAACACGTGAGGACCAGGATCAGCGAGAGAAAGACTTTTCATCATCTGTTTCTGCAGCTCTTCATCAGTCAGCTGCGTGTTGAAGAATCCTGGAGTGTCGATGATGGAGATGTTTCTGCTCCTTACTCTTCCTCTCTGTATCTCACTCTGTCTGGTTCTGCTCTCTTTAAATGCATCTTGCCCCAGTATTGCATTTGCTGTTGGACTCTTTCCAGCTCCAGAGACTCCCAATAAAACAATCCTCAGATCCTGTGAATCACCTGCATTTAAACATTTCATGTCATTAACTTGAGCTTTTGATGGTGGTGATAAATGATTTTGTGATTATTCTGTTATTCATTCAGTTATTCTTCGCTATTTCACAGAGGTGGGACCAAGTCATTGCTTTACAAGTCTAAATAAGTCTTGAGTCTTTGCATTCAAGTCTCGAGTCAAGTCCCAAATCAAGTCCTGAGTCAAGGTGGGCAAGTCGAGTTGCAAGTTGCAACTTTAAGCTTCAAGTCCTAAACAAGTCATTAGTGCCGTTTGCCCAAATTAGCGTCTCTATTAATTACTACAATAAATTTAAAGTCATTAACCCTTAAATCATTCACTATCCTCTCTCTCCTTCATTTTTGAAAGTTAGACATCAACTTTCTTTGTATTCCTCAATCTATTCATTATATACAATATAACAAGAAAAAAATATATAATAAATTGTCTGTTTTCTGATTTTTTATTGTAAAAAGTGTATAGGGTCACTAGAGACCCGAGGTTAGGGCTGTGCAATTAATCGAATACGATTGTTATGCACATCCCGTCAGTAAAGCCGGTTCTGTGATTAGTAGTAAATCTCCATAACCTGCTTTCAGATGGAGTGGCATTTACTACACAGAGCCGTAGTTCACTGACAAGCTACGCAATATCGCATTCATTATCGCAGGCGATTCGATCTTGACTAATTGTCAGTGATGGAGATTTACTACTAATCAAGGAACCAGCTTTACTGACGAGATGCGCATGACAATCGCATGAGCCCTACACACAGCCCTACCCGAGGTATGCAAATGTGTAAGTATATTTGTCCTATAACTATATTTACATATCTGATGACCACCTCCAGGCTCCATCCCAGCCGCACATCTCTCAACAGTCTAGAAAGTCTTTACCAAACTCGGATTCCGCTCGCCCAGGGGAAAACCACTGGCCCAACCACATACATCAAATTTTTAGGCATCCAATTAGACTCACAAAAATTCCAGAAAAAATCGATAGAACGATCATGGTCGCTTCCGCCCTTCCTAGGCAACCCAAACTGTTCCAAACACGAGCTGTTGTCTATCCTCGGTCACCTAAACTTCGCAATGCACATCATCCCGCAGGGCTGCCCTTTCATCTCTCACCTCTTCTCCCTTCTTGTCCTCTGTGCACACGCTCGAAGATCGCATATCCTTATCTAGTTCGTGCTGCAATGAGCTCAGTTTATGGATAACCTTCCTCAAACAATAGAACGGCTTATCCTTCTATAACAGCATGGTTTCTCACCCCGTCGACATCCAATTATTCACGGACGCCACCCCCCCTGCATCTACGTGGCCCCCCCAGCTGTCAGATTTGCCGCAGTCTCTCTCATCCTCAGCACTGTTCGAGTTATATCCTCTAGCTGCCGCAGCGGCCCTGTGGGGCAAAGAATGGTCCACCACCAGCATCGTAGTGCAGTGCAATAGTTCAATGTGAAGCGGCCATGCATTGCATAAATAAAGGCCGGTCTCATTCCCCCACATTAATGCTCTCTTTAAGTCTCATTTGGATTTCGGCTTGTGACCAATTCATTTTTAATGCAAAACATGTCCCCGGATCCAAAAATCAA